CCCCCAAAACCCCAAAACCCCAAAACCCCGTAGGAGCTCTCTGCAAGTGAATCTATTTATAATTAATGAAATTAAAGATGACCACCTCTAAGAGAACAAAGAAAGATACTAAATCTAAGAAGAAAAACGCAAAAAATGTTGAGAATTGTCCAGAAATAACTGAAATTTCAGAGAAAAAGTTCCAGGAATACCTCTTGCATTCAGCTGAAGAAGTTTTTGGTAAGTTTTTCCCACTCTTCTTGGTATTTTCATTGAAAGAAGACAGAAGGCCTCTATTTAGGCGGCTATTTTATCTGTCCTTTGGCTGTGGGTGTTTGCTCTCCTAAGTTGCTATTGAAACTATCTTCATTTGCCTTATAATAATTTTAACATTGCTGCTTTATTTGCCCCCAAAAATAACCCTTTTGGTCTTAGGCGAAGAAACTAATTATGAAAATAAAGATGATCTTTTAAGCACAGTTCCGAAATCTTTGAAAAGCAAGGACGACAACTCTAGCTCGGACGGTGCAAATAATGATGCTAAACCTATTGGGTATAAATAAAATAATTTGAGAGGTAGGTGTGCACTATAAAGCCTTCTAATCATGATCAAACAAACTAGTATGGAAAATCCTTTTACTTACTTGAGACACATTTTACCACAATTTTCCATGAAGAAGCTCCAATTCGGCTAGGCACGACTAGCCCTATTTTCCCAAAAGCCTATAGTTTATTCCAGAATTTGGGATGGGATATCTTAGAACAATAATAACTTATTGTAGAAGCCTTAGGCTTGGCCTTTTAAAAGACTCTTTTAATAATATAATCAAACCTCATAAATATTATGAGGCGAGAGAATATCTCAGCTGTCTGAAATCCCATAGGTGTGGCAAAAAATGCTCAAAAAATCTTTTTGGTGATACTAATGACTTTTTATAGCAGGAATATCAGCCGGCTTCAAACCAGGCCTCAATTCCTCTAAACATAGGCCCTGTTCAAAGCTACCCAAATTGAAGTAGAAAAAGAGAGATAAAAGAGGTAAGTTATACACTTTTTCGTCTTTTTAAACCACTATTATATCAAAAACACCTATATAGAAGCAGAAAGCAGCTGAAGAAGAAAAGCTTGCTCGTGAGAAGAGATGTAATGCCAGGATTGAAGTAATCCTCAACACAACAGGTTACTATCTCACAACAGATAGAGGTTTTGACGCTGTAGAGAACTTATCCAAAAAGGAATATGGGAAAAAGGCCCGAAAAGAAGTCTGGAAATGACTCCCAATATACAAAGCACAAGGGATCAGCCAAGTTCTTGGGGTCAGCTCCTTCCGAGACCTTGAAAAGGTAAGAAATCTCTACATGAAACTTTTACTTTTTATTTCACTCTGTCTGAATGTTATCACCGAAATATTCATATGTTAGAAGATTTTTCAATATTAGCATAAATTTCATGACGCTTCTAATTAATCATTTGTTCGACCATTTGAAAAAGTTTTGAAATTAGTTCCATTTTCAGTCATCGACAAAATTGTAGTCTTCGAGACATTTTGAAAAGATTTGGCATTTCAAGATTTTGTTTGGGCACTAAAGTTGCATTATTAAAATTCATGATATTTTCAAAAGATTCGGATCTTTTGTATTTCCAATCTGCATTAGTAGTGGATCATGATGCTTGGTACCTTCTCCTGGTTGAAGGCGAGATAGAGATGCCCTATAAAATCCCTTTGTTCGTTTGAAAAATATATGAATTTATTAACACGCTATGAGATCTCTTGGAAAGAATTTAATTACACAAGAAGGAGTTGGAATTAATCCTCTAATCCTAAGACCATAGCCCTTAGAGCCTTTAAATTACCCATTCTCGTACACCCTTAATAGCTTAGGTTTGGAAATAACTCCAAAATTGGCAAAACTTGTCCTGTCTTCCACTGGGTGGATCCAGGAAAACTTTTAAAAATTTGGAGTTGTTTCCAAATCCGTTCGCCAAACACACATTTATTCTAATCATTCTTTATAGGCAATGAGAGTAAGAAAATGGGATAACCTATAGGGCAACTTTTTCAAAGGAACCATCGATATCTGGGAGGAAGAACTTGAAGGACTCACTCCTGAAGAGATTGAGCAGGTAAGAGACAACCTCACCACTTGGAAAGAGCTTCTGAGAACAGAGATCATTCCAAAGTGGATCCTCTCACTTACAGACAAGAAAAAGAAAGAGGAGAGCAATAAGAACGTTGATAAGAGAAGAGACACTGTAGGAAAGAAGCTACTTAGGGACTGCAGGGAGTTCTACCGGATCATTTGGGAGTGACGATACAAGCATGTCAAGGATAAAGACAAAATAGAGAAAACTCTCTATAAGAATATTTTCAATGAGCTAGGCCTGAATGAATACTACGGTGAACTATGTCTTATTGATTACAAAACCTTCTTTAATCGAGTCCTGAACCTTCCTCCAAACCTAAAGAGTGAGTATCATAAGCGCCAGATTAAGGGAGGACCGATGAAGGTAATGAAAGGGTACAATGTAAAGGATCGGGATGTGTTTCTCTAACCCACCCAGTTTTCTCACGACTGTATATATTCCTCTACTATACTTTCTACCCTCTCTACCTTGCGCATACCAAGCCAGAGTTCCAAGACGTAGTACAGCTAGAAGTCATCAATGTATGCAAAAACCTGGTATATAAAGTTGGAAAGAGCTGCCCCTGGCGGGGTTTTGGGGTTTTGGGGTTTTGGGG